TGCGTATGAAATTGGTTCGTTGACTGTTGTAATTAACATCGGAGAAGAAACAAGGAAAGTGGAGAATCGACGGAGAAAAAATGGGAGGTGATTGTGGTGGCGTCGTTGGGTTTGTTGGTCTGGATTCTTTCAGCTTCGAATCAGCTTCTTCGCTTCTTCGTTCTGGTTTTAAGGTTCAAGCATTCGAGGTCAGTTGCTTCTTCTTCTTCTTCGATCATTTGTTTGGATCGTCGTTCGTCTGGATCCGGATTCGTATATTTGTACCAAACTTGTGAAATTTGTGGTGTTGTGAAGAAGAATTTCCAAAATTCTTAATCTAACTCGGAGGATTTGAGCTGTTTATTTCCATCTTTGCAACATTAATGGTTAAATTCAACAGAGACTCGTGAAATTGATTGATTAGCAGTGCGTTGCGTTCTATGTGAGGGACTGGGAATATTTATTGATTGTTGCTTTGTTATGGAAAGATACAAAGAAGAGTTGTTTCATCAGCTTTTTATTTGATTTTGCTTTTGTGAAGAAATTAAGGAGGAAAGCTAAACCGTTGTATATATATATTCCACAGATCAGTACAGAATTGGTGGAGAAGTTCACTGAATTGGGAGGAAACAAATGCCATAGCCCTGCAGATGCTGGGAAAGGTAGCTGATTTAGTGTGTGTTGTGAGGAATTAATAACACTGAAATACATGGAAAATAGGTTCAGGTTTCATGGGAAAATGTACTAAATGTTTTCGTTTTATCGAGCATTTGACGTCCAGTACGTAGCCTTTTGTACATGGAAACCATCTTGTTGTGTGTTCTGTTGCTACCTTGTTTCATGCCTCTGTTTACTTTCGATACTGTCTTGTGTCATGTTATTTACTGTCTATGTTCTTAATTAAGCAGGTGCAGCAGCTGTGGTGGTTTTACTATCACATCCTGACCAGATTCAAGATGTTATTTTTGGTGATGAGGGTGTTATTAAAGGTTATCCCGAAGATCCTTTTCCTCAGAGTTGATGAACTTTTATCTCAGGATTACTGTGTATGAAACTGAAAGCGTCATTTCTTTGCAGGTCTACAGAAGGGCGCTGTATTGCTTCTGTCTTCGACAATATCACCTTCACACCTCCAGAAGCTTGAGAAACAACTTACAGGTTGCAATTTGATACTTTACGGCATGGCTTGCCCTCCATCTCCATTTTTTGAAGTTTGCGCTTGTTGTTCGTGAACTGAAAATGCGATTTGTTTCATTGCAGAGAACAGAGAGCAGATTTTTGTGGTAGATGCCTATGTTTTAAAAGGAATGTCTGAGCTTCTTGATGGAAAACTAATGGTATATGCTCTCGTCTTGCTAAGTTTGTTTTGTTGGTGGAGTACCGCTGGGCTCGTTGATCTCCATTCATTGTTAGAAGTCGAATGTCACTGTACTTGAAGTGACCCTTTTCTTTCTAATTTATAAGATAATAGCATCTGGAAGGTCAGATTCGATTACAAGAGCACAACCCTATCTCACTGGTAAAAGTTAACACAAGTATATAGACCCTCTCAAGATGTAGTCTTTCTGTGAATCAATTATGTTACTGAGACTATTTAGTTGTTTCATGAAGCAATGTGTCAGAAGCTTTACACCTTTGAGGGAGAAATTGGTGCTGGAAGGTATGGAACTTTCCAGGCAATAAATAACCTTCTCGTGATTACTACAACTTCCAAGAGTTTGACTGCCTAATTCACCGTCACAAGTCATATCAATCATAATGCTCAAGTTGATACCAAAATATTATGAAACCTATGAGATCACTGCTCTTAATATGCATGAAACAAGACCTTTGATGATTCTAACTGTCCCCCGGCATTATGGAAAACCCATTCATCTTTTATTTTATTTTTTTGGTTCTGAACCAGTAAAGTTAAAATGGTGAATGAGCTGCTTGAGGGCATTCATCTAGTTGCTGCTGTGGAGGCTATATCTTTAGGTTCTCAGGCGGGTGTACATCCGTGGATACTGTATGACATCATTTCCAATGCTGCTGGAAATTCATGGTATGCTTTCTGCTACAAGGACTTTCCTTTGTTATGAGTAATTAAAAGGTCTCTCAGTACCACAGTTTGTCTTTATAGTAAAACTGGTATGAATCATAGGGTTGATGGCATTTCATGTAGTAGTAGATCTTTAACATACACTCATTAAGGGGAGGGAAAAAGTATATGCAGAATAATCTACTTTTGGAAGCTTTGAGAATAGACTATTACAAGTAAGTTAGGATTATAACTGGCTGGAAGACAAACATTTTGTTTTTACCTCCTCATTTAGTCCCATTGAAGATATCCCTGAAGGTTTATGGCAAAATTAACATGCCCATATTTCGACCATCGATGTCACAGAGTTAGTTTGTCTATTGTATATTTTGTTTTCAGGATTTACAAGAATCATATTCCGTTGTTGCTGAAAGGTGATATAGAGGGTCGCTTCCTCGATGTTCTCTCTCAGAATCTGGTATGATACACCAGCTCGAAAGTGATATTTTATCGTTGTCTTTCTTTTGGTTCAAAGGGAAATTAGCAAAGAGAAAGAAAACAGATTTAGCTCCAATTATTGGGTCATTTTATTTATATACTGTGATTAAGTCTTGATGTTTGCATATGTAACTAATGATATGCTAACTGACTTTGATGGCAAGGGCATTGTTGAAGATAAAGCCAAATCGCTCCCATTTCCTGTCCCACTTTTGGCAGTCGCACGTCAACAACTAATCCTCGGTACAGATCAATATGATCTTACGTCCAGCGCAATAATATGACCTCGTTCCCTTATTTAATTCTATGCATAACTTCCTCCTTCTCCAGGAATATCACAGATGCACGGAGGTGATACAGCTACTTCATTGGCTAAGGTCCCTAATAGAGTTCTTATTACTGTTTTCTAGTGCTTTGGAAACATGTGGAAATTTTAACTGAATGGAAAATTACTGTCATAGACCATTTACATGATGCATGCCTCTCTAATGAAATGTTCACATAATGATTTGAGCAGATCTGGGAAAAAGTACTTGGTGTTGGCATATTAGAAGCAGCCAATAGAGAACTTTACAAGCCAGAGGACTTGGCCAAAGAAATTACTGCTCAAGCAAAGCCTGTGAATAAAATTGGTTTTATTGGTCTCGGGGCAATGGGTTTCGGTATGGCTGCGCATCTGTTGAAATCAAATTTTACTGTCCGTGGTTATGACGTAAGCCTTTGATAAACTCTCTACTGTGAATGCTTAATGGAGTCTACGATTTACATGTTCAGAATGATTGTGTTAGTTGGTATTAATTGGTAATGTGAGTCGATGGATACATATGTTTACTCCTCTACTTGGTTTCTCGTTTATAGCACATGGTTTGCCACACTCTAAACTTTTGGCTATAATGCTTTCATAGATTCCTTTACTTTTAGCTGTTAGTTCGGTGAAGGTTATGTTTTGGGTGCCTTCTTCATAAAAAATGTTGACTTATTTATGTACTCGCCCTAGCTCAGTCAGACTATTTATAAATGTAGGATTTGCTAATAGATGACTTAACATCAAAAGAAAAGCTGTTTTATCACTCTGAAGTAAAAAAGTTACATTGTTAAATGAAATGCTTAATACTAATCTGAATTGCAGGTATACAAGCCAACACTTGTCAGATTTGAGAGTGCCGGGGGATCGGCGGCAAATTCTCCAGCTGATGTCACGAAAGGTAGTCCTTGAAATTAAGACAAGCGGATAAATTACAGTGTAGATATGTCATCTAGCCCGTAGCACTTCTGAGATAAAAATCCTGCTTTTTTTCCCCTTAAATCCGATCATTGTCCCCAGAAATAATGCTTATAATTGTATCTGCTCCAACAGATGTAGATGTTCTTGTAATTATGGTAACAAATGAGGTTCAGGCTGAGGATGTCCTGTATGGACATCTTGGAGCGATTGAAGGTATATCTCTATTATCCTAGCTTTTAGTACCGGAGGTTAGAGCTGATTTTCCTATGTTTTCTTTCACAATATTTCAGCTATTCCATCTGGAGCAACTGTTGTACTTGCGTCAACAGTTTCTCCCGCATTTGTTAGCCAACTTGAAAGGCGTCTAGAAAGTAAGTTTTTTCTTTGTTTGGTGATATAGGAAAATCTTTACAAATTTAAGTATTTTTTCAGTAACCAGCTACAGTAGTGCCTGTTTCATTCTGGATGGTCATATGCACCACTGATCTTTTTTTACTTCCACCATGATCTTTTACTGTCACTTGATTGAGTTCTATAATTTAATATTTTATTTGGTAATCTTGCAGATGAGGGAAAGGACCTAAAGCTGGTGGATGCTCCTGTTTCTGGTGGTGTCAAGAGGGCTGCCATGGGGGAACTTACGGTATGAAGTCTAGAAACCTATGTACTGTGTCTGTAATGAAGCTGAATTTATATATTTTTTTCAGATAATGGCTTCAGGTACTGATGAAGCACTTAAGTCTGTGGGAAGTGTGTTATCAGGTGACGATTTCATTTTCACTTTTCTGGTGAAATATGTTTTTGTTCACATCACAACCTGGATGTGCCTGACTATATTAATTTTGAGCAGCATTAAGTGAGAAGCTCTACGTGATTGAAGGAGGTTGCGGGGCAGGAAGGTAAATTTTTTTTTTATCTTTTGTTTACTGACATCACGATCCTTTCTTTACTGACATGGACATCATTCACTTTCTTTGTTACTTGTTTATTTGATGTCCCATAGTGGTGTAAAAATGGGCAATCAATTGCTTGCTGGAGTTCATATTGCATCAGCGGCTGAGGCAATGGCATTCGGAGCTCGGTTAGGTCTGAATACTCGAAAGCTATTCAATGTTATTTCCAACAGTGGTGGAACATCTTGGTATGCTTTACGTAGATCTTTATTGAATAAGTTTTTTCTTCTCTCTGGAAAATTCTGTGTTACCATCAATGGTATCTTAAGCTTAAAGCCTTGTCTTCAGGAAACCTCGTGCTTCTGCTTATTGATACTTATTTTTATAAGTTTATAAAAAGCAAGTTTGTGTTAGCCTGATGGGTCATAAACTGAATGGCTCATATTTTACATCTTGCAGGATGTTTGAAAATCGTGTTCCACACATGCTGGATAATGATTATACACCATACTCTGCTCTCGATATTTTTGTTAAGGATTTGGTAAGATAAGCAACTGTAATCAATTTTTAGACTTGTTTTTGTTTTCTTAACTTATGCAAGAGTTTTGACTGTAGGGAATTGTTACCCGAGAAGGTTCTTCCCGTAAAGTTCCACTCCATATATCAACAGTGGCGCACCAGCTATTCTTAGCAGGTAGACTCTAATTTTCTTACTGCTCTCAATAATTCATCTTGCACGTGCAGCATTTATGTCCTACCTTTTCAACAATACAAATTATTACTTAAGAGCTCAGTACTTGGTTCGAGTACAGAGTTTCATGTGTTGCGAATTTCTTGAATAATATTCTTCGCAGTGCTTCTTTCTCGAACATTTTGGAGAACCAGAAAAACTTCTCGAACATTTTGGAGAACCAGAAAAACTTTCTACTTTTACTGAGCCATACTTGCTATAGTTCTTTTTCCTTTTTGCCACATATAGATGGAAGCAGGTATGCTTAGAAATATTTTGTTTACAGGCTCTGCTGCGGGCTGGGGACGGATAGATGATGCTGGAGTGGTCAAGGTATAATTGTTCACTGACTTTCTAGCACCAAGATAATTGTGGTTAACTTTGAGACAGCTTTTGGCTGTTCATTTCCGTCTCTAAAAATTATAGAAATCCTCTTTTTACTTAAAAGGTTGCAAGTGCAAACATTTCTTAGTAAATGGCAAAGAACTACAGTTTATTAATGTCCTCAATGATACTGGTAGCTGAAAAATCTTGGATTTTGCTCTTATAGCATATCATCTTGGACTTCCTGTTTGCTGGTTATCTTTCTTAACCATGTTGGACAAGTGAACCTATAACAGTATCAAGATTGGTGTCTATTTGGTGTTACTCATTTAAGCTGCAACTGCAAGTTACTAAAAACGTTTTATTATATTTATAGGTATATGAAACCCTTGCAGGGATTAAAGTCGAAGGGAGACTTCCGGTTCTGAAGAAACAAGACATACTGAAATCTCTTCCATCTGAATGGCCTTCAGACCCCACAGATGACATTCATAAGCTAAATATGGGAAACTCAAAGACGTTGGTTGTTCTTGATGATGATCCAACCGGGACACAAACTGTTCATGACGTAGAGGTTTTAACAGAATGGTCAGTCTTGCATGCTTTCTCTATATAACTGAATTTATCGTGCCAACGCAAAAGATATCATGTATCCCCGTAAAAAGAGTTGGCGAGTCGCTAGCCTAAAACCCAATATAAGTCATTAATAATTGGTTATTTGCTTTGCCTTGCAATTTGACAGGAGTGTTGAGTCTATTTCTGAGCAGTTCAGAAAAAAGCCTGCATGCTTCTTCATATTGACAAATTCGAGGTCATTGAGCTCTGAGAAGGTCAAGACATTTCTATTTTGTGTACTCAATTAAATGGAGAGTTCTAATCTCCTGGAACAATGAAAAGTTGACTATATATTGCTTCAACAGGCTAGTGCATTGATCATAGACATATGTTCCAACCTATGTGCTGCATCAAAAGAAGCTGGCAACGCTGACTACACAATTGTTTTGCGGGGTGATTCAACGTTACGTGGTCATTTTCCTCAGGCAAGTTTGGTGCCCTAGCATGAAATGGCGGACCATCATTTCAACGTTTGATTTGAACTTGATTTTGTTTATGTCGTTACTCAATATTACGATTCATGCAGGAAGCAGATGCTGCTGTCTCAATACTTGGTGAAATGGACGCATGGATTATTTGCCCCTTCTTCCTTCAAGGAGGACGTTATACTATTGATGATGTGCATTATGTTGCAGATTCTGATAGGTATATCTTTGTGAAAAACTTTTGTGTGTGTGGTTTTTTCAAACTTCCAAATTCAGGGTAAAGTTCCTTTCAGAGCATGAAGTTTGATAGTCTTCATCATTAAATGTTACAGGCTCGTTCCTGCAGGAGAGACAGAGTTTGCTAAAGATGCATCCTTTGGATATAAATCCTCAAATCTCCGTGAGGTTTGAATTCTTCCCACAGCAGAACCATCTTATATAATTTAACTCCGAAGAACTATAAGTAATGAACAAAATTGTTATTATTCCCAGTGGGTTGAGGAGAAAACAGCTGGCCGCATTCCTGCTAACAGCGTTGAGTCAATCTCAATCCAGCTTGTGAGAAAAGGTGGCCCTGATGCAGTGTGTGAGTTCTTATGCAGTTTAAAGAAGGTAAATTTTTTAAGCACATTTTGTGTTGACTTTTGGATGTTGCTTTCAGTGAACTTCACTGGTCTTGAGAATTTGTGGAATCAGGCAGTCCAAGTTTGATAGGAAGTCTTAACTATATTTCCATTTCATATGTAAATCAGGGATCTGCATGTATTGTCAACGCAGCTAGTGAAAGAGACATGGCTGTATTTGCAGCAGGGATGATCCAGGTAAGCCAGCCTAATATTCTTTCAGCCTTTTTACTTTTATTGAGACATATTCAGATCGAGGATGCATGTATTTTTCTCTCATATTTTTTATCCCTTCTTTCGACGGAACATTACATTTGGCAGGCAGAACTGAAAGGGAAATCTTTCTTATGCCGTACTGCTGCTAGCTTTGTATCTGCTCGGATAGGGATTATTCCAAAAGATCCCGTGTTGCCAAAAGATTTTGCATCAGACAAAGAAAGCAGTGGTGCACTAATAGTTGTAGGCTCATATGTCCCGAAAACAACAGAGCAGGTTAAGCTTCTTTACTAACACTAATTCCTCTACTAAGTGCTATATGAAATAAAGTTGAAGACTCCTGAGTCATTTGCTTCAAACTAATAGGTTGAAGAACTTCAATCACAACATAAGCAGAAGTTAAGGAGCATCGAGGTAACAACAAGTAGATATGACTACTAGGATACTTATTTTAGTATTTCCCACAGGTTATACCTGCTCTGGTAACTAAGTTCTAGCTATGATCAACAGATCTCTGTCGAGAAAGTTGCTCTCAAGTCTTCCGAAGTGAGAGATGCAGAAATCAGTAGGGCGGTCGAGATGGCCGATGCTTTCCTTGGGGCTGGCAGAGAGACTCTGATTATGAGCAGTCGCGAGCTCATCACTGGGAAAAGTTGTTTTTCCATTCCCTCTCTTTAGATCTTTTTGTCCTTGGTATAAAGTCATGACTGATAAATATCATCATTAACATTTTTGTTTAACTTTGACAGCATCTTCGGAGAGTCTTGATATTAACAGCAAAGTGAGCTCCGCTCTTGTTGAAGTAGTGAGCCAGATAACTACCCGACCCCGTTATATTCTTGCTAAGGTATTTTTTTGCAAGCACTTGTTGCTTCTCATAAACTTCCTGGCAGAATCTGTGAATGCACAGTTGATGATTGCAACTGTTTTATGGTCCAATGTATTTCGGAAAATTTGACACTGTAACGTCCTTGTTTAGGGTGGAATTACGTCATCAGACACAGCTACAAAAGCACTAAAAGCAAGACGTGCACTTGTGATTGGTCAAGCCCTTGCTGGTGTTCCAGTATGGAAGTTAGGTCCTGAAAGTAGACACCCTGGAGTCCCCTACATTGTTTTCCCGGGTAATCTTAACTTTTAATTCAAACATTAAACTGAAGAAACAGGTAATCTTATTTTTTTCCTTTTTTAAATACTCTTATTCCCTTATCTAACAGGTAACGTTGGCAACAGCACCGCCCTTGCAGAAGTTGTGAAGTCCTGGTCAGTTGTAGCGGGACGGTCGACTAAAGAGCTGCTTACTGTAAGTATCCCTCTCGTTCGCTAGCCTCTTTTTTCTCTTTCTGTATTGATGCTGTGTTACTATGTAAAATAGAACGCAGAAAAGGGTGGATATGCAGTTGGTGCATTTAATGTGTATAACCTGGAAGGAATAGAAGCTGTTGTAGCAGCCGCAGAGGAAGAAAACAGTCCTGCAATATTACAGGTTAGTGTTCTGACCAAAGATGGATTTCTGATACATCAAAGAGTGTTTCATTTGAGAAGTAAGCCACCATAGCAACCAGCAAGGATAACATTCTGTTCTGAATAGTTCAGACTTCAGAATGTCCGACACAACAACAAAAAAACGAAAACTGATTTTTTTTTGTTCTTGTGGCTACTCTTTTAGGTACATCCAGGTGCCTTTAAGCAAGGAGGCATTCCGTTGGTTTCGTGTTGCATCGCCGCAGCGGAACAAGCCAGGGTAAGTGGGATTTGTGGCTGTACTTTGTTTCTGCTTTAGATACAGATATTTAGTTCAGGCAGTTCGCTTTGCAATGATGAAAAGAACAAAAGAGCTACTTTCGCGGCAACTGAAAAACAAAAAAACAAGCAAGACTGCAACTTTCCTCTGGTTTTTCCAGAATCAACAATGAAATCAAAACTTTTATTGCTTGTGCTAAGTACCTAATACATGGGTTTTACACTGAACACCCGTATTTACATGCACAATCTGGCAGGTTCCAATATCCGTGCACTTTGACCATGGAACCACAAAGCAGGAGCTATTAGAAGCTCTTGAGCTCGTAAGTTTGATATCTATCGCCTTCTCTTTGTCCTTTTCGACTTAGTTCAATTTTAGAAACTTCATACCGATGGATCTCGTGCAGGGATTTGATTCAGTGATGGTAGATGGCTCTCACCTTTCCTTCCCAGAAAATGTATCCTACACGAAAGCTGTAACAGAGTTGGCCCGTTCCCAAAACATTATGGTGGAAGCAGAACTAGGTCGCCTCTCAGGAACAGAGGATGGCTTGACTGTTGAAGACTATGAAGCAAAGCTCACCAACACTCACCAGGTCCCTTTTATTTACTTTTTAGGCGCCGATAAATCCAATCTCTCACCTGAGTATCATATTTGCTAAACCAAACTACAACTATTTTTCATGAGTTTTTCAGGCTCAGGAATTTATGGAAACTGGTATAGATGCTTTGGCTGTGTGTATAGGAAATGTCNATGGAAAATACCCTGAGTCCGGTCCAAACCTCAAGCTCGACTTACTTAAGGTTAAAAGCATATTCTTGTGCTGAGTGAAGATGTTCTTCAATGTGTTGAGTTTGAGCCATTCTTATTCTAACTGAACTCCGTGTATATAGGAACTGCATGGTTTAAGCTCAAAGAAAGGCGTCTTTCTTGTTCTTCATGGAGCTTCTGGTTTGCCTGAAACAATTATCAAGGTGCGATCATGTTTCAAAGTTTCTGATTTTAGTAATAAGAAGGAAAAAAGATTGTTAATCGGCACGCAAAATTTCTCTTTTGGTTGAGATTTTGGTATGGATTTAACCGAATTAACTAACATCTATGAGACAATCAGGAATGCATTGAGAATGGTGTGAGAAAGTTTAACGTGAACACAGAAGTAAGAAAGGCTTACATGGATGCTCTTAGCTCCGGGAAGAAGACCGATCTTGTTGACGTCATGTCTGCCACAAAAGCAGCCATGAAAGCTGTTATCGCCGACAAGATCCGTCTCTTTGGTTCTGCCAGAAAAGCTTGAATATTATTCATGAACATTGTCCGATCAGTATCTTTACAGGTACAGTTGTACATCAAATCCAAAGAATAAACCAATGCCATTGTACGCAGTGAACAATTGTTGGAAATAAAGCAAACATTTCTAGTAATATTGTTTATCTATTTCTTTTTTCTTCGTACAGTGAAATATATATAGAAAATTAAAATTTCTTCTATGGGAAACTTTATCTTTGTTAATCGGATAAAATTACTAATTATTCAGGGCTATCATTTCTGTATCTCCCTATACATAATACTCCTCGCAATCTTCGCCGTTTACCTTCTCAAAAATTCCCTTACTCTCTCGCACACATTCTCTTCCTTGGGAATCAAA